GAATATTTCAAAATATTCTCTTTTTTTATATTGTTAATGTAAAAAAAAAGTCACCCATTTCATGAATTCTATGACATTCATCACAGTATTTCTTCTTTTTATTTCGGGTATATTAGGCTCTAAATGTGACACTTTATACTACTTTTTACTGAACGTAATATAATGAGCTCTTATTTGTGGCATTTAAGTGGAAGTATGTTTAAAGTTTTTGATCCAAAGAAAAAAGCAAATCTCCTAAATGTAAACCAAACTGGGACCTTCCAGAAAAAGACACACTGTAAAATTTTTTTTAATGAAGTGGATGATGATGATTCCTGCATCGAGAAGATTATGAGCTCTTTTCAAGTTGCCTAAGGACTCTATGCGCATTGACCTTCATCTCTTACAAAGTCCACCTTTTGTGATCTAGGGGTGAGATTTTTACATTGCTGGTCAGGAATATCCCTGATAACTAGGGTAACCACATAATCTAATATTGAAGGTAATTGTTGTTAGTGACTTTACTGGACAAAGACGTAAACCAGCACTGTCCGGGTCAAACAGGGACATACTGAAGTAAGGTATAAGAAGAAGAATTTTAGTAATGGACTCTCAAATTGGTATCAATTGAGGTAGTTTTTGATATATAACAAGGTCAGCAAACTATAACTCACTGGTCATGTCCAGCCTACTGTTTGCTTTTGTATGTCTGGTCGGCTAATTAACAATGGTATTTACGCATTTAAATAACTGAAAAAAATCTGGGATGCCTGCCTCAGTTGGCTGAGCATTCAACTTTGACTCAGGTCATGATCTCCCTGTTTGTGGGTTTGAGTGCCATGTCGGGCTCTGTGCTCACAGCCCAGAGCCTGGAGCCTGCTTTCCATTCTGTGTCTCCCTCTCTCTGCTCCTCCCCCATTCATGCTCTCTCTGTCTCTCAAAAATAAATAAACATGAAAAAAATTTAATAAATAAATACTTGAAAAAATCCGGAAATGTGTGTTTTTTTATCATATAAATACCTACACAATATCTTTGATTTTGCTTCTTGAATTGCAAAACCTAGAATAGTTGCCATCTAGCCCTCTACAGAAAAAGTTTGCCAACCTTTGTATATGCTTATATCTTTTAGTCTAATCATTGATATTGTTTAATACTTTGCTTCTTATCCAAATCTGTTTTGATGTTTCTCACAACTGAATAAAATATAGACTCCCGTAAAGAAAAAAGAAAAAAAGATCCCTCTGAACTCCAGAGAATGCAATTGTCCCCACAAACATGGATAAATATTGATTTACATAGTAAATATTTTATTCTATTAAATTCCTCTTAAACTAAGAATTATCACTGAAAACTATACTGAAAGATAACTTTGATCCTCATTTGGTAATACTCAAATCTGTAAAAATTATCATAGAATCTTGGATCTCTAAAACTCTATAGTCTCTCAGTGAATCATAAACTCCAGCTTAAGAAATACGAATCTAGTATATTCCAGTTGTACTGTACCTTCTGGACATGTATTCAAATAGTTGTTTCTATCTTAAAGTTAGGTTTAAAACAAAGTAAATGACCTGGCCATCTTATAATCTTATTTCTTTATTTTTCCAGTTATTATTTTTTTTGCCCTCCCTTCCTTTCCATAAAGGTATTATAAACGGTTTAAATACACAGTCAAATTTTTATAACAATCCATAAAAACTGTAATAAAAATGGTCTGTGTAATATTCTATAAAACACACTTAGAAGAAAACCTGACATTATCTAATCAAGTTACTACTAATTTACCAAGTCTGAGATATTGTAATGTAATTTCAGTTAAATTACCAAAATAAAACATCTTGTTTTTATCTTTTCCTTTAGATTGCTTATTCAGGTGTTTCTTTAGTGAACTCTTTTTTTTTCTTTTTTTTTTTTTAATTAGGCATATTGATTAACATTTTTATTTTTCAAAGCCCATATTAATTTCTGAGATCATATCTGACATTTATTTGTTGACCTTGTACATCTTTCTCATGACCTTTCTGGTAATGGATTATTTGAATCATAACTTTTAATGGAAAAAATAAAACTGAACATCACAAGTGAACTATAATTTTTGTTCAGCATCACCTGAGAGGGTTGGGGGCAAATTTTACATTTATGAATGATTAAGCATCTTCTACATCCTCCCACAGGAGTTTCATTAAATAGGCAAAATTATTTCTGTGCAGGTCACACTTATTAAATTCAACCAATGAATAAAATTTCCATTTAGTAGCCGCACAACAGGAAAAAATAAAGTTAGTGTTAAAGGAGAGCATAAATGTTTAGCATTCCACATTTTACATTCATATCTTTTCCTCACTCCCTGCAGCTTGGAAAATTTTTATTATCTTTGTTAATCACCTTCCTCCATGCAGTTTATAAACAAGTATTAGAGTAGGGATGAAGATAAGAGAAAGTAAACAAATGGAAGTTCAGTCTCTATTCACTCTACCTTCTAAGAGCTCAAGTAGTGATATTGTAAATTTCCATTAAAATAAAGCTGATTGGGTTGCAAATCCTCTAGTCCTTTGTGAGCAACCTACCATCCTACCACCTCCAGGGAAAATTAGGTTTACTTTTGAGAGGAGAAAAACACAAAGCAAATAACTTAAAGTATGGCAAAGAGCTTTAAGGTGGGGACACACACACACACACCCCAAGATAACATATAAAAAGAGAAAAGGGAGAAGACAAAAACTAATAAATAAATTTCTTTGTGAAATCAGCCTGTTTAAAACCAAAGTAACTCTGAGAATTCTACAATTCTCTGATTGCTTTTGATAAGGCTGATGGTCGGTTGTGATCATTCATATCCTCACACCTAGACTATTTATCCAGCCAGTGTCCATCAAAACGTCTTGGCCTGATAGATTAGGCCAGGGGTATTCAGCAGGAAGAAATTAGGCCATGCTGTTTTTAAGATTTACAATTTGCTGTCAGAAATCCCATACAAATTACAATTACTGCTGGGTATGTTGTGCAATGTCAAGTGAAGATAATTACCTGCCAATCTACATAATTAGCGCCCCCATCCCCCAAATTCCCACTTTACAAATGCCTATTTTATTCAGGTAAATGAGGAGAATTCTTTTCTTTGTCATTCTTCTAACTCATGCAAAATGTTTTGATTGGTACCTAAGCAAGCAGGGGGAAAATGCTAGTCTCGGCAGAACTTTATGTTGAAACTTTTTTCAACCTGAGAACAATTGTTAAAGAGTAAAATCCTTCATATATGGCTCGTCTAATAGCTTTCTTTCACCTTATATGGCAGGTGTTACAGGAATTTTGAGATGAATCTTAAAAAGCATTTGTAAACCATAATGTGTTCTATAAATGCAAGATAATGTTGTGCTAAGTCAAGCTTCTAAGTAACCAGATGAAACTCTTCCAAAGAGCCAGAGATGATAGAATAATGAGACTTAAGCCTTGGAAGCAATGCACATAACTTTCGTTGGCCTGTTTCTCGGGTCTACCTTCTTTCTAAATGTATCACTGTATTTTTACATTTTTGAGATTTTAAAAAGAATATATTTTTAACCTAAGAATGCAGTTTTAGGGTAAAGAGAAATATATATTGGCCAAATCTAAATAGAAAATGTTAAGCAGGAAAACACAGTGATTTCATTTTATTACTGTTCCACTGACTTCACTGATGTTTGGTTCTCACCAGTAGGAATGCAGAAAGCCCAATGAATGCATATATCATTGGGTCACCTCATTACAACTTGCAGCAGACTTTCTCAACATGCAACACTCTCAATTCCTTCTTCAGAGAAGGAAGGCTGCCAGCCACAATCAATTTACAAAGATATCTTTGACTAAAGAAAGAATATGCCATTCTATATAAAGTATGTTGGATTTTCATCCAAGCAAGGGGGAAAAAAAATGGTAGAGAAACTTCCATGCAAGGATCTTGAGAATGACTATTTTCCCACACAGGTAGGTGTTGGCAGTGCGGTGGTGAGATGGGACAAAAATACCATGGAATCTATTAGCATACGTAGAAAGTATTTTCTTTCCCTTTTAAGTCTCTGAGCTGGATTAGAGAAGAGAATTTGCCTGTTTGAATAGACACCAACTAAATGAAGAAGATAACCATTATAGTTAGGGGTATAATCCGATTGCAAAAAGTAAACATAAGAGTTAGATAGATAGATAGATAGATAGATAGATATAGTAGTTGATTGAAAAAATATACAAAGCGGGGGAAGCTTAACTAAAGAAAAAAATGAGTAAGATAAAAATTATATCTTTTGCTTCCAGTTTTTTTCTCTACATATCACATAATGTAAGACTCTTTAAGTCTCTCATGTATTTGTACTCACCACTGTTTTAGACTAAAAACAAACATTTCCTGAACAGATACATTTGACTTAGAATGTTTTACCTTAAATGTGAAATTTCTCTAGATAACGCCTGAAAAGATCAATCTTCATATTCATGATGAGAAGTTCTTCTACTATCCACTTAACATGTAAAAAGCTAGCTAGGTAACTGTTTTAGGGATTATTTTGATGAAACTGAAGAATCCAAGTTCTTTTTTTTTTTTTTTTTTAAATTTTTTTTTTTTAACGTTTATTTATTTTTTTGGGACAGAAAGAGACAGAGCATGAACGGGGAAGGGGCAGAGAGAGAGGGAGACACAGAATCAGAAACAAGATCCAGGCTCTGAGCCATCAGCCCAGAGCCCGACGCGGGGCTCGAACTCACGGACCGCGAGATCGTGACCTGGCTGAAGTCGGAAGCTTAACCGACTGCGCCACCCAGGCGCCCCTGAAGAATCCAAGTTCTATTCCGTTACAAAGTGAAGTGATATGACAGCTATGCATGGTGTCCTCTAAATCAACAATTACTGCAGCATTATCTTCTTTACTCCATCTTAATTTAGCAGAACTCAAACCATTTTAAATCAACCTGGTACATGCATCCATTCACTTCTCGTCCAATCAAACTGGAATTACCTGTCAACAGAGAAGTACACTTACGAGTGTGAAACCATTTGACCATGTTATATTTTAATTTGCAGAGACAAAAATGACAAGCAATTTATTTACATAAAACTGTACAAAAGCAAATTAAATTATGTAAAGTATTTCATAAATAGTTGGACGAGTGTTTAATACATTTCGTCATGTTTAGCATAGTTGCGTGCATAGTGACTTATAATAAACGATGATAAATTGTTCTCTGCTTCACTATCAACATCCAAGTAGCAGAACAATAGTCAATGATTAACATTACAAACAGATCGTACCACACTGAATGCAAGTGCTTTAAAATGTAGGAAAAGATGTCTGAAAGTAAACCCTAGGTAGCTGAAAAAAACGATGCCTCCCTCCAGATGTTACTTATACCTCTGCCTGGGTCCCAACTAACCAGCTTTAGAATATTCAGGATCATCTTCACTGTTTTTTCCCTCCTAAGGACACATTGTATATTTATCATTGATACAATATACCTAAAATTACTTGGTCTTTGGATTTCTCAGTCCTGTTTTTAGGGATAGCTTGACTCTTGGCGGCTTCTTTGGGTCTGTGTGTTATTTTATTTTCTTATAAGACAGCTTCCTAGGGTAGCCTTTCAGCCAGACATCTTCAGTACCTTCTTAGTTTTTCTTTCCATAAAAATAATGCCTCCCTTGTTTTCTGAAACTCAGGCAGCAGGCCAGTCAGAAACCATACAGAAATGATATCTGGAGGTTCAGAATGAGCATTAGATTTGAGACTGAAGCTATGGACATACACTTAAATTTTAATATACATAAATTTATATAGTTACTCATTAATTTATAAATGTGTCCTAATGTATAATGCATGCAAAGTTCACTTGAGATTCTTGTGTACAGAAAACAAGTATGGTTGATATACTGTCCAACCAAAATGAAACAGCAGCTAAAAGAAAAAATAACAACGAAAAGGAAATAAAGAACAGAAATTCGAAATCAATATTTGACCTTGCAGAATGGACTGATTTCACCCCTGATAATATCTCTCTGTGTTACTATTACAATAAATGATTTAGCCTTCTAGTCAGAATTAAGCAGCCCATATGAATTAATGCCTTAGTTTTGTTTTATGAATGAACGGTATTTAAGACTGGTCCATTATCTGAGTTTGTCAGAAGGCAAATTTTTAATATATTATTTATTATTTTCAGAAAATAAACATGGATAAATATACAAGATCAAAAAAGTCGGGAATAGCCCATTTTCCCTCATTGTCCAAACCCAACAACCGTTTTTTTACCATAACAACAGGTATAAAAGGCACAGTTGCTTATTTTGCATTCACTCATTTATTTTTTTTTTGTGTCTTTTTATTGATTTTTTTCAAAAGCACTCTATATATGGAGTGGCACCAGATTTAACCTATTCAAAATAAAAGTCATACAAACACAAAATATATTTCTGTGTCATGCCAGCTCATTATATAATAAACATGTTATGAGAGCTAATTCTACTAGAATTACTGCGAATACTTACAGTACACGGAATTTTATTCTTTCACACCCATTTTAGTTCTAAAGAGAGGATCACGAGTTAAATGACAATGACATGGCTGTCTTGAACATGGTGCAAATGTCATTGGGGAATATGGATCCAATTAATCCGAAGGTCCAGTATGACCCGTATTAGCTTTATAGACAACAGAAGGGTTTCAAAATAGAGTGAAATGAGCTATCTAATGGTTTCAAGTGTCTCATGAAAGAAAGAAAAAAATGCATTAAAAAAAGTTTGTTGAACACCTGTGTTATGCAACTGAGTATTTGCTTCGTAACGTGCAAGAAAAAATATGTATACATTTCATAAGTATCTTTAGAAGTATTTTGTCTTAATAGGTACTTACAGATTATACAAGGCAGAACTGCTTTAATGCAGTTTCCTAACAAAGTACTAGAATTGCATCTTTCCATCATGTAAATAATAATCAAACATAAACATGTTCAATTATTGATATTTTAGTCCAACGTTTTTGTTTCAATTACATATCTTCTTTCATCCTAACTATTATACATAAACTAACATCCAAATGAAAACTCCATTTAAGAAAGAGCAGAAGGAAATGACCCCCAAAAAGTAGCCCACCAAACAGAGAAGTGGTTTTTAAAGATAAACGTTTTGATGACTTAATAATGAGTTCACAACCTCTAGTCCAGGCTGCTTCACCTTATAGTCTAAGAAATTCTGTAAAGAATAAAACATCCAAAGCTACACTATTTCTACAGTTTGCTAGAGAGCCATCAGCCTATGTCTTAACCAGGTTGCAAACATTCAGTTTTGGGAACATTTGCTCTCTTCACCTGTTATCCCCTATTCCGTCCCTGGATTGTCACTTTTGTCTGAATGTCCCAGCTCAGTCTCCAATTATGTTAAATCATCTTCTATAGAACAAATGACTCAAAATCTATATGTTCTGGTTTGGATTTTTTTTTACACTGAAAAAAACTGCATATTTTCCCACATTGAGATGTACATACAAGGAAACATATCATTGCCCAGAACTCCTTTCTTTCGTGTTCAGTCTGGATTTAACTCATATTAAATAATGTCCAAAATCACACTTGTGACAAATCAATTAGGGTGTCACCTTGTTTCAATGTTGTAAGTCTTAAAAGAGTGCCATATTGCACAGGATCCAGGATTAATGCACTTGTGTTATCTGAAAGAGTGTGTTAAACACATGAAAAACTACAATTGGTATTTTGAAATGTAAAGAATAAGGCCAGGAAGCACAACCTGGATTCTAAAATGGTTAACAGTGAGTTTAACTTAATAGACTGTATGCCCACATATCCTTCTTTCTCTACCTTCCCACAAATACGATTTTTAAAAGTGGAATCTTCCCTGCTAATATTCTTTTTTGAAACTAAACTTGAACCTAAACTAATCACCTACTCTAATACCAAAAATACATCACTTTAGTTTTTCATTTTCTGAGCTTTCAAAGAAAATCCATTTTACAAGAGAATGCCTGTTTTCGGGTATGGAGACAACATAAAATAAGCTAGTGCTGGAGTATTTCTGTGGGTGCATGGGTTCGGTTGCTTTTGTTTCTTAATGAATTTCCATGTCGAGACCAAATCTACCTCATGATTTCCCTGATCTGCCGTGTGATCTTTGGCCTTTTAATGACAATTAATGACAATTGTTCCAGTTCGTTGGTAATAGTGGTGCCGTTCGGAAAAAAAAAAATATATATATATATATATAATTTTTACAAGTTATAATTAGTGTAATTGACTTGTAATTGGCCAAGATTGTGTCCATACAAAAAATATTCAATGGACGTATGGGGTTGAAGTTGATACTCCTGACTTGAAAAGAACAACGTATGCCAATTTGGGACTGCAATCTCCAGCGGGGTATTGTCTACTTGTCAGTCTCTGTTATTAGAATATGGCACTTGTGAGATTCTCAATTTTACGGCCTCTTACGGAGTCCCCCTTTCTAAGAACTGTACCTCTACAGGGACTCTATCATTTTGGGGGGATTGCCTTTCATGGTGATTAATCATATCCTGATGGTATGTCTGAAATACATCTTACCTGATCTGTTTTTGGTTTTGGTTTTGTTGTTGTCGTCATTGTCGTTATTATTAGTATTATTTTATTTTCACGTTTATTTTTTTGACCAGCCGGATGGCATTCGAACTAAATCAAAGTGACAAAATCATGCTTCAGCTTAGGGATAATGAGATTGTGTTGTGTTCTGCTAATCAGGCTTGTTACCATGAAAGAAAACTTGCAACCATCTTTTTTTTTTTTTTTTCCTCCTTGGAGGGGGATGGGGAAGAGGGATAGCAGGTGTTGGGAATAATCGGTGAAGGGGTTAGACATGCAAGTAACAAGAATGGTTTCTACATTGTACATTACAATCAGGCTAACAGTATCACTAAAGGCCTGATCTGGAGGCAGAAGTGGCAGGCAAAGCTTTGTCTCTTTGGTAGCCCCCTCTTTTTGATTAAACGGTTTTTCTTTGTAAGGTTTTTTTTTTTTTTTTTTTTTTTTTTGCCCCTTATTCTCCTTCTCATACATGAAAAGAACTTTGTTGTTCTCCTTTAGAGCCTACAGGTAAACTTCTCTTCTAGTGAGAGTATTGACAGGAGATGGCTTGTATTCCCCTGTTTTTGTAAGGGGAATATCCTCGGGGTTGGCTTCCTCATTTTTGCTGAAACTAGCTGCACTGAAGGTCTCATAGGACGAGGTCAACTTTTTGTTCAGGAGGTTTCTGTTGCGGTCACCCATGATGGCGGCCTCGCCATTGGCCAGCTTTTCCTGGCTTCCTCGTTCATCAACAGGCATGAAAGTGGAGAGTTTGGGCTGGCTCTTCTTCCTCTCTGGAGAAGTACGGACTGGCATCCAGCAGGAGTCTGAGTGGCCATATTCGTCACACTCACGGGTACACTTCCCAGTCAGGGCTACATCTGGAAGAGGTCTTGAATCTGAAATTCAAGGAGAAGAAAACGTTAAAGTTGGCCACCCTGCAACTGGCTTTCCTGATATGTATGAAATTGGAAGAGGGGGACATATATATATTCCATATATATATATATATATATATGGAATATATATATATAATTTTTCATATTATTTTCCTTTTTTCAACACCCCGTACTTCATCATTACCATAGAGCTGTTTTGATTTCATATCCATTAAAGATAAGGTTTTGCAAAAAGAACAAATACTATGGAAAGAAAGGCATGAACAAACTAATACATTTAAGTCTGTAGGATAGATAGGTACATATGCATTTGTTACAGAACAGGGACATGTGTATATTCTCAAGTAGAAATAAAGTGCATATGTGTATTTGTATGGGTATAAATGTTTCCACATGCATAAGAAACGTTATTAAACCTAAATAGATAATTTGCTCTATTTATAAATTATCCCAGAAATCGTGTACTTTTGCCAATTGGATTTCATCCTGCTTATACATTATTCATGGCATGCAAATAGGCAAAACCTTATATTTAAAATACATTCTAAAACATCAGGGTGACTCAGAAAGCAGAAGCTAAATTGACAGCACATTATTTGGTAAAAAGTAAAAAAAACAAAAAAACAAAAAAACAAAGTACAAGTAGGTTATGGATGTGAACATATTAGCAACATCATCACCTACCCCACCCTAGCCCACACCCACCTCCCACCCACCATGTCACATGACCTAATATGTGCTGTAGGATAATCCCTTAAGTGTTCACAGAAGAAAACATTTGCCAGTGTGTTTGCTGAATAGAAATATTAGGTGAAATGCAGTGTATTGGGTAAATGCAGTCAAGCTCCTAAAGTTCTGATGAAATAGGGTGTACACCTAATGAATGTTAATGCCTCGTAGAACTGGAAATGTCTTCTAGTACTGTGAAGCGAAGTCATATCTAGAGAGTTCTTAGGGATCAGGATTAGAGATGGAAATTGAGAATTATCTGAATATGTAAGCAAAATCATTAACATGTGTCTGTCTTTGGAGAATAGGTATGCATTTTCTTACTCTTGACATTTTTTAACAGACTATTTTTCTTTGAAAGAGAGAGAGAGAGAGAGAGAGAGAAACTGCTCTACCTCAACAGATTCTAAATGAATTGCTTCTAGGGTATTATTTAGTATAAATTTTAGTTTATTTTATTGTCAAACAAAAGAACATAATATGACTGTGCTCCAATTTATATCATACGGCATCATGTTTTCTTTCTTTCTTTCCTTCTTTCCTTCTTTCTGTCTTTCAACAAGGCTTTGCACTTAAAAGACTGACAAATTTTAACCTCTGCAAATACATTCACATCAATGGAATCAGTGAAATTTGCTTCTACATAACCTTGCGTAGATTTGGTTTAAAATAGACAAAGGGGTTATTTACATTATCCCCGATATATTTATACCCTCTGCTTCTGTCTCCACACACCATTCTCTATAATTTAACATTACATTCCTATCTGGGCTATCATTTGTATAGGTTATTTCAGAAGTTTTACCCTGCCAAATCTCCTAAATCAAAGCAGTCCAATGCATGCCATTTTTTCCCCCTGCAGTGATGGATAACTGAAATATTGACATTTGTCAGCCCATTGATTTTTGAGCCACTATGGCCTGAGATTTTTATGCTGTGTGCTCAGAGTTCAATGAGGAAATGCCAGTGCTCTTCCCAGAAAATCTACAGTGACTTTAATCTTTCCAAAAGGTAAAATGCATAGATAATTATTTATAGTAGTTGCACATGCTGTGCTATTTGACTTCGAAGGGGGAAGACCCTACTAATTGTATCATCAAAAGATAAAGCACTTTCTTATTCATTTTCTTATGCCAAAAATTCCCTCTGTGTCTCTCAAACACATATTTTAGATGCATTTAAAAAATCAAACTATTGGCAATTTTAGGAATGATTTTTGTAATGTAGTTAGTTTAAATGAACAAAATGTGAGGTCTTTGGGAATATTTTCCATCTTGGGATGCTTTGTTTATTTGAAGCTGACTTAAATGCCTTGAGCAGGAAAAACCCTTATAAAAATGACAAGTGTAAGATCAGACCTATTTTATTCTAAATATTCCTTTTTTTTTTCATCGCTTTAACAAGTTCAATTTTTTTCTTTTTCTTGTATGATAGTGCCTCTCAAAAAAACAAGAAAGTGATCAGGAATAAAGCTACTAAAATAGGAAAAATCTCTTTGAATGTGGTCATCATTCCCTGTAAAAATGACCCAGAATGCTCTCCAAACATTTAAGTTTACTTAAGTCTCACACAACGTGTCAGTTTACTTGCACAGTGACTTAGATGTCCTCTGCTTTTGGGGGATTAATTCGTGTTTTCAGTCTTAAATTTGTGGCACTTTGTTTTTCTTTTGCTTGAGATACATTTAGAGACAGCTCTGAGTGCTGTGTAATATGCAAACAATTCTTCTTACCTGTTGTTTTACACGTGTACCTGAATGCCCTATAGTTGATAAGAAATTATATTTATTTAGATTGACTCAATTTCTCATCAAGTAGAAACGAGATACTCTTCAATTTCTTCCCTCAGCCTTTACCTCATAGTCTGGATTATTTCCTGTGAAAATCGATTTCCTCTTATTGCTTTTATCAAAGGCAACTTGTCTTCTCTGCCATCAGCCGCCTGTGGGCTGTCACGTCTCTATCCAAGAGGCACGACTTTTAATAAGGATCTCCCGTCACTTCCAAAGTCAGACACTTGATTGGGGACCACAGTGGAAGTTGACAAGCCTAATTGGCTGAGACATGTTGCAGTGTTTGTCATCACATTTAGAAAATAATCGAGAGAGGCTATAAGAGATTCATCACAAGCAATCAAAACTTCCAATCTTGATGAGTCAAGTGAATCCTCAAAAGCAATGCCAATGGTTAACAAATACAGTATATATTATGATGCTATTTATTAAGGGAAGGCATGAGTGGAATAGTGTTTTCCTGTGTCTCTATATTTTCTTATTTTCACTATGCAAGTCTACTTTTTTTTTGTAACACAAAAGTTATACAGGGTCTTCAAGAATCATTGAAGGTACTTCTTCTCCCTTTCATAAAAGGTACACTCTTAAAATGTCCTGCTTTGTGGAATTACAGAGGCACACCTTACACAGCCAGTAACCATCTTTCAGTCTTTCATCGAAGGATGTGGTTTTGATATCTAAGAACATTATTTCATGCTTTGGTTTAGTACTACGTCCTTTAATTTGGACCTGAGTGAAGACGGGAAGGAGTTAATCACAACTCTTGTCAGTTGGCGTTGAGTAAATCAATAAAAAGTAAAATATTCTGTATCAAATTAAATGGTACTCGCTATCAGCATTTTCCACCACAAAATCGGTTCCTTAGAACCCCCCTCCACACCCCTGCTTAATCATATCAAATCTTGCAAAGAGTGGATGTAGGAATGATATTCATCAGATCCTATGGCTGCTTTAGCATTGCCTGTGGCATTCCAGTTATGCTATTTACTAGAACCATCACATCGGCTTGGAGAGTTAACGGCCTTTCTTAGGCATTAAGTTAATTTGCTTCTTGCAAGTCCAGCTTTAAGCCATCCTAATAGCTGACAATTTATAGCATAGAAAGTACTTTCCCACGCCCACTCTTTTTACAAGGAGGGTGGCAGCAGTGAGGGGCCCATTCTCGGGAACAGCGAAGGCCAAAGAATAAGTGTTTAGACTTTCACTTTAGTGTCGCTCATAACACCATAATGCTCCTTCTTAAAATGTAACAGCTGGGTAGTTAGAGGTCAACTGCGGCTACCCATGGCCATAAGGAAAAGCTAGAGTCTCCAAAGGAAGAGGAAAAAAAAAAAGTGTCTGGGCAGCTCAGGACATAGGTTCCACAAAGTCCCCAATCTTACTACTTCGTGACAAAAATGGTGCGACCTCCCTAAAACCATACATCTCTTAAAGTGGAAGAAATTATAATGAATTTAAGGACTCAAGCTCTTTCTCAGAAAAGAAGTGCAGGTGTCCTTACTGGGCTCCGTTGATGAGCCGACCTGGGAAAATGCTGGTACAGTGATCTCAACAATAAGGGACCGACAGACGATATGTGGAATCATCAGAAAGAGCAAGGAAACCCAGATTTATTCAGGCATTTCATGTTTCCTGACGCTGTCCTATACAGTTCAGAAACCATTACAGGCATCTTTATTACTGAAAAGAACTGTATTGTTCAGACTTCTTGAAGACAGATCTGCACCAGTAGGGATTTTCGTATGCTGAGTTATGCATTCTGTCAGAATCCTGGGCACCCCCTTTACTTCAGGCCCTTGGCTTGGGGCTGAAGATACAAGGATATTTTCCTCTCCTAAGAGAAGGCATGAACATGTTGCATTTATAGTTTTAAAATATTTCCAATGAGGTTTTCTTTTAAGCTCAGTTATTTAAAGCTATCTGCATCTTTTGCTTATTTGTTGGATACACAAATTACTTAACTCTCTGATCCTGTGATAAATGAGCTGTTAGTCAAGGTGTTGATGTTCATACCATTCCTACAATTTTTTTTTAACTCAAACACTAGAATATTATTAAAATTACTTGAGAAAATTCTGGAAATGAAAAATTGTGTCATTCTCTCCTTTTGGGGAGGGGAAAAACACATAGAGGCACCTTTTGCTTTTCTTTCTTTTTAAAGTATTTTCTTCTTATACTTCCTGATTTCCTGTTATACAAAGACTTCTTTTTCTAGAGTCACATCTAAATTCTGGTGGAGTTTACTGGACAATGAAAAGGTTTTACAAAAGGATGAACAACAAAAAGTAAGACAATTGGTAATGGTTTTCCAACAAATATTTTAACATTACCTTTATTTTTGTAATCCAAAAGAAAATGTCTCTTTTACTCAAATGATTGAATAAAGGGCTTTATTTTAAAATAATTGTAAGAAAATGATTCACTTTTGTTTTATATAATACAACTGAGTACATAATTAAATAAACCCTTTACTAGAAAA